CGTGGGGCCGATGCCCCTCGTGCCCACCGCCTGCTCCTTCCCATTGAGCATCGCCCGAGAGTAATAAACAAGTGTTTCTGTTTGGCTCCCCGTCCGCCCCCCGCCCTCACCCGTCCCAGTTAAGGGCTGCAAATGTCCACAATCGTTCCGATAGATCTCCGTCGCTGCCTCTGCGGTATTCCCTAGATGACAACCTACCTCCGTGTCATTGGCTGATTCCCGTATGTTCGCCTCGACCCGAAAGTTCCTTCGTGGCAAAGCTCGAGGGGGTCACGATCGTAATGCGCGGAGACGCAGCCACGGCCACAGCCAACGCTTCCGGAGCAGCAGCAGCAGCGGCGGCGGCGGCGGCGGCGGCGGCGGGAGAAACGACCGGAGACAGCAACAACGCCGCCCCCGCCGAGGGCGAGCAGCAACACTACCATCAGCAGCGAGCTTCTGGTTCCTCGGCGGCGGCGCCTCCGCACGCCGACGGCGGGGGCCTGGCCGGCAGCCCGAGCGGTAGTGGGCGGGAGTGGAACTCTAGGTGGGTGCGCACAGGACTGTCAAGAAGACGGGGACTGCTGTATGGTATGCTGCTCGGGGAACCACAGGCAGGGCCTCCGCTAACGGTATGGATTCGTTGCTAATTTGTCCTGGACTCGTTTCTCTAGGGCATGGTAGCTTGGCAATCCCCGCGCGACATGATGCCCTGACCCTCCCATTCTCTCTCGCATGTTCGTTTGTCAGGCCGAAACCCGGCAGGCAGCGGCCGATGCCGCGTTGGCTGAAGTGGGTCCTGCGGCGGCTCAAGGTTAAGCTTGCGGACGTTACCCTCCGCTACGAGTCTGTCGGCATGTGCCCGCTGCAGGTGCGGCTGTAGCGGTTCGCTTAATGGAAAAACGTGTCCTCCTGTGAGGTTGACAACGTTGACTGCGATCGGCGCGTCGCTACGTACAGAGATATTTCTGCAGAACAGGACAGTGCTTTGTGTGTCCGTCCCCGTCTATTCTGGTGCCGGTCTTTGCGCTTCGCGGTGTACTCTTTTTTTTGGCGTTATCAGCCCCCGGGGTCGCATGAGCACGATGGAGGGGAGGAATTGGTGAGGAGAGCTCCAGAGGGAAGGGAAGAGGGGCAGACCCAGGTGGAGAAATGAGGGTGGGGCTTGATGGTGAGGGGGTCTCATCGTGACTCTCCGCGTGCCCCCTGATAATATTGGCTGCGAACGGGCGGCAGCGAGGCCACGCTCGCAAAAATTTCTCCCGTCACCAGTGGTCGGGAAAAATCGAGTCTGGTGTTGATTTGCTTGCTATTTGTCTTGGCTGTGGGAAACGCTCTCCCATCTCCTGTTAATATAGGTACGCCGACGGGGACAGGCTATCCCTTGTCTTACGTGTGTAAACCATCAAGAACTGAGCCGTATTATGCATTTGTTTTTTTTTAGCAGCGGAACAGGTCTCCGTTGTCTACGTACGTTCATTCATCAAAATAGAGCGTATGTTATGCCTTTTGTGTTTTTGCGCGGATCGACGCGGCGTGAGGTGACAAATGACGAAACGAAACGTAACGTAACTTAACGTAACGTAACGTAACGTAACGGTAACAGGGTGCGGCTCCGGCCGCTGTAGAGGTCACCCTAGGCAGCCTAGAGGTGCAGCCGGTCTCGTTGCAGGGGGCCTCGGCTTGGTTCAAGCGGCAGGTCCAAGCAGAGCACAAGGGCCTTCAGTACCGAGAGGTGAGGATCGATTGCTAAGCATGTGTGTTATCCTCTCTCGCCCGCAGGGTTTTATCAGTACACCTTTGTGTGTGTTAGGTTTTACCTGCGACCACGGGAATCGACCGCGCCAAGGTTAAGATCAGTACGGAGAGGAGGAGGTAGTGGGTGGAGAGAATGGAACGGTTTTCAGTGTGTGAAGACAACAACAACAACAACAACAACAACAACAGCAGCAGCAGGGGTGAGTGTGTCGAGGACGGCGATCCTGTATGTGGGGGTTTTGCGTTGTAGGTTGACTGGCATGGATAGTGGTGCAGGTTAAGGGCACCCTTGCGAAGCATGCACATCATACGTCGTGCTTCGATTTTTGTGTGCTCTTTTTGATTGTCACGATGTTCTCTGGTTCTGGCCAGACAAGTTGTGTGACCCCTCGTTTTACCTATTTTCTCCTCTCCTGGGGACTGACTCGTCGATCTACGGTATACGTCGGCGTGCTATTTCTCCAGCCGCTGTGTTACGAGCGATGAGCGAGCGCCCCGTGCTAATTTTTTTCTGAGGGATAAGAGGCGCTTGAGAAACGCTAACGTGACGACCCCCTTTTTTCTTTCCCGCGCCTCTCCTCCTTCCTCTGTCCACTCCCCCACCCCCGAAAAGGAACTCCTCCTGCGTGGCCTTGCCGTGAGCGTCGAGCCTCTCGTCGACCCCTCCCCTGCGGCCCTGCCCCCGCTCCCCCTGCCGCCACCGGCCGCCAGCAACAACGCCTTCGGCGACGACCACAGCAGCAGCAGCAGCAGCAGCAGCAGCAGCAGAGTCTTCCTGTTGGAGCCCACCACCATGTCCGCGCAGGCGTACGTCGTGTCGAGGCTGCCGCCGCGGGTCCCGCCCCTGGCGCCCGGCGGGGGGGCCGGCGGCGGGGGCGGCGGCGGCGGGTCTGACACTACTGCTGGAGGAGGGGTCGGCGGAAGCCGCCTCGTCCCACCCAGGCTTTCGCGCATCATTTCGAACACCGACCGCATCGTGACCAACGCACACGGGAACATGGACGACGTCCTCGTCGCTATCGCGATCCTGTNCCCCCCCCCCCCCCCCCCCCCCCTGAGTTGTCGCGTGCAAACTGCGTAGCTCCAGCCCCCCCTTCTCGGACAGTGTGGAAGAAGAACGGCTCCTACTAGGAGAGGTTGCCTGGGGGTTTTGCTGTGATGAAGAATCTGCTGCTGCGTACGAGGGTCTGTTACGTGGTAGCTTACACGTTCACTTTGTGCTGGTGGAGGTGTCATTTGCGCGTCTTCCGTTGTCGTACAACTGTGTGTGCACCAGTTGTATGCGCCTACATACGTCTCGTGCGCATCCAAAGGGCACGATTGTCATCCCCCCTTTTCCCTGCTCCGTCCTCTCGAGGACGCGTGGTCAATGGTCCCACCGCTAGGGCATGCAAAAAAAACATCAGAGCACGCCCCCTCCTCTTGCCCTTCTCTGTGCACAACAGGGTGAGAAGGTGACCGGTGCCAACGAACCGGTGACCCTCAATGCCACCGAAGACGCCATGGCCCTTGTGTGGGGCGTAACGGAAGAGGTGCTGCGCCTGGCGGACATGAACTCCGGTGCAAGCGCCGGTGCGGGGGGAGGCCTTGACGGGACGGGCCCCGGCGGGGGTTACGCCAGCGGGAGCGGTAGCAGCAGCGACGAGGACGGCGATGGCGACGATGGGAGCGAGGATGAGGTGCGTTTGGCCCGTGTGGTGGTGGTGCTGTTGGAAGTACCAAATGAAAAATATTTTGTGTTTTCATGATAATGTTATATTCTATATTGGTAATCGATTTTAGACATAGGTCAATGCCAACATAGTAGATACTAGGTATGGGGGGGTGATGAGCCGCGCGGTGCGGCTCAATACCTTGCAGTAGTCTTATCTGCGATGCTGATGGTGCACGAATCCCGACCAGACACCAGCGTGAATCGTTTGTGGTGGGACCGCAGGCGTGCGACGGGAGCGACGATGGTTGTTATGTGCGGCCGCCGTTCAAAATTGTTCACTTAACATGCGGTTGTTTGTCCTCCGTTTTGATGCACGTGCACAAAGAAACGAAATGTGACGTCTTCCCGCTGTGCGAACTCAAACACGCACATCTGGGCATCTGGAAGAGAGGCACGCATGCGGCATACACTTGGCGGCGAGCGCATCACATATCACACCGTCGAGGAGCACGACCAGCAGCGTAGACATAGGATTTTGACACGACAGATGGCAAATATTGCGTCAGGTTCACAACTTGCCCGCCTCATTCGTCTCAAGCCTTCCGAGTTTCCCGCCAAGTGATAGAAAGCAGTCCAGCATGAACCAACAACGCCGTTGATGCTCATGACGTCATGACTTCGATGCGAGACAACCTCAGCAGCAACAACAGCATGCAGGGCACGGCTTTTGCGAAGACAGTCAATAGCGCGGCGCAAGTACGCAATCTGAACCGATGCCGCGGGGAACCATCCTGATAACGCACAGCGGCAGCAATAGACCCTCACGCCCTCGACAGTTTCTCTCGATGGTTGTAGGTGTGATCTGGAGTTGGGAGGGTGTGTTACATGTGTTGCCAGTTGTGATCATTCATCGGTTTTTGCCTCTTTTTGGAGCAGTCGGTTGGACCCACTCGACATCAATAAACGCGCTAGGTTACACATGGCGCATGCCTACAGTGTACCCACGGTGCACAGGTCGTATAAGCCCGGCTCCTCCTGCTTGTCAATAGCTGGTCTCAGACGAGCGTCTCAGCGGTGATGCGTTCGTTGGTGGTGTTCTTGCGTCCCTGTCGGTGTTGCTTGTCCTGGTTTGAATCGCGCGCGCGCGCGCGATCTCCGCTGTTGTGCACGCCTTTTCGCGTGGAAACACCGGGGTTGGGGAATAAGATCTCCTACGAAATTTGGGCACATTTGCCTGTGAAGCACGGCCATCTGTTGCCGAAGCACGACCAAACCGGTGCGACGAAGAGCGCGCTATTTTTTCTTCTCCCTCAGAAGCGAACACATCGTCAGTCGGTGCCCTATTGATCTGGTTCTGGTTCCGAAGGTGGGCTAATCGGCTTCCCGGAAACCAAGTTTTGGGGCCCCTGTATCGCGCGGCGCAACTTTGGCCGACATATAGAGATTTATTTCCCTCCTGGGACGAAGGGAAAAAATGTCGCGCTTCGCGCTCCGCGGCTCATTAAAAGTAACGAATTAATGTTCGGAGATTTCCACGACCGAAATTGATGTAAAATCAAAGTTATTTAAAATCAAAACCGTAATTGAGGAGTTCAAGTATTTTTGGGCGATGGGAAGGTTGGTGTGCCACGCAATGCCTGCTCTGTTTGATTTTGATTTATGGGGTGTTTTGTGTTGCCAAAAGCTTCCATCGCCGCCAGCAACGACTCTCGAGCACATGTGTGTGAACAATGGTGTATCTTGTCGACGTGTAGTGCTTCTGTTGCACGAAAGCGGTTTGTTGTGTGCCGTCCCAAAACGGTCGAACGTTGCAAACTCGATATTCGTGCATATCTGCACTCCCGCTGTGTACATCCACACTATTAGTTTCCATCATGTTCTTCTCCTGCAGGTGGTCCGACGCAGTTTTTGACACCAACATCGTTGCTCTCTACGTCATCAAACAGGACCACGCTGCTCCAGGTCACGTTCTGTCACCAAACCCCCAATGACTCACTGACTGATCGTCCGCGCCATACATGTATCGCTGAATTATTTTGCCGCGTTTCTTTTTTCTTCCCAAGTGGTACGACGCGTTCGGGTCCGAATTCGAGTCTGGGTTTCAGGAGCAGCCCAAGCCGCGGCGGCGTCGGGGTGTCCTCCGCACCGCGTTCGCCACGGCCGCCGGCCGCCGCCGGAGCAGCAGCAGCAAGAAGCAGAAGCAAAAGCAAAAGCAAAAGCAGAAGGAGGGAGGGTCGTCCTCGGGACGGCCCCCGTTCCTTAGGCGGCGAAAGACCTCTGACGACTCGGCCGTCGCCTGTAGTAGTGGCATCGGTTTCGCGTCGAGGGGAAGTGGGCTGAGCGGCTCGTCGTCGTTCTCGCAGGGTGGCGCAGCGGGAGAGGACGGCAGCGGCAGCGGCAGCGGCGGCGGGCTCTGGGCCGCGACGTCGTCCTCGTCCGTGCTGTCGGTCACCTCTGCCGGCGGCGGCGATGGTGATCTAAGGCGCGCCCGGCGCAGCAAGCACGGCAGCAGCTCCGGTACCGCGGGACAGCTCGCGACGACGACGGCAGCGAAGGATCAGCAGCGCGGCCCGCGGGCCAAGCCCGGCCTCGAGGTCAGCTTCTCCGCGGGGGTCACCGTGAACCTCGTGCGCCGCAACGCGCGGGGGGAGGTGGGGCCGGGGCACCTGGGGCTGTGGCTGCAGCGGTGCCGCGTCTCGGCCACGGGTCTCCACGCCGGAGGCGTGCGCGAGCCCTCCGACGGATGGGGCTCACCCCCGCCGCAGCACCGCGGCTGGCTGTCCGTCTCGTCGCTCACCGTCGGCACGCCGCCTTCTCCTTTGACCCCGTCTGGGGTCGTCGGCAGCAGGTTTGCCGAGACGGTAGCAGCCGGCGGCGGCGGCGGCGGGAAAGGTTCGACTTCTACGGCCGCCGCCGCTGCTGCTCGTGGCAGCGGTAGTAGGGCGACCAACAACATGGGTGGTACCGGTCACCAGTTTTTCCGTCCCGCCTCCGCTGCCGCTCCCGCCATCGCTGAGAACGGCAAGAGCGGCCAGCAGCACTACCGGCCGTGGCTTGTCTGCCGTCCGGCGGCAGTTGCGGCAGCACCGGCGGCGCCAGGCCGCTCCGGGGGGAGCAAGGTCAGCGGTGGCGGTAGCCGTGCCTCTCATCGCCTGGGGAACGATCCGCTCGGGGGAAAGTATGACAACTTTTTGGAGGTGAAGGTGGCCGGTCGAGCGGGGAGCGCGGCGGGCACCGGTAGCTGCGCGTCGCTGTTGATGCGCATGGGGGAGGTGGAGGGCTGGGCTCTCGGGGGAGCGGCAACGAGATGGGTCGAGCGGCTGGGGCCTCAGGTGATCGATTGAGTACGTCATAATAGTATAGACCGGTCGACAGAGAGCCGGCGAGGGAGAAGAAGAACAATGAGGGGGGGGGTACTCGTAGTTGTGCATGCCGTAGTTGCTAGACCATTGACCTCACATCCCTACAAAGTCGGGATGGAGCACGCCGGCTTGTCACCTAACCAGGCTCTCACATCACCAAGCGCGAAGCGCCGTGAGGTATTCGGCGAGTCGCATGAAGGGTGCNGGGGGGGGGGGGGGTCCCTTCCCTACTTAGTGTCTTTCAGGGGTGGGTGCAACCAACGCACATCTTGTGTCTTGTAGGACCCGAGAGGGTAAGCCGCTTGAGGACGACGGGCCGAGGGGAACGGCGGCGAGTGGCGGTAGGCAGCACACGCTCCGTTTGCGTATCGGGTTTCTCTGCTCTGCGTTGGCCCTGAGCATCGACCGAAAAGTCCATTCGTGTCGCAAGTTATTGGCGGTGGATAGTAT